GTTGTGTGTGACGTTGTGTGTGTGACGTGTGTGTGTGACGTTGTGTGTGTGACGTTGTGTGTGTGACGTTGTGTGTGACGTTGTGTGTGTGACGTTGTGTGTGTGACGTTGTGTGTGACGTTGTGTGTGTGACGTTGTGTGTGACGTTGTGTGACGTGTGTGTGACGTTGTGTGTGACGTTGTGTGTGTGACGTTGTGTGTGTGACGTTGTGTGTGTGACGTTGTGTGTGTTGTGTGTGACGTTGTGTGTGTGACGTTGTGTGTGACGTTGTGTGTGACGTTGTGTGTGTGACGTTGTGTGTGACGTTGTGTGACGTTTGTGTGTGACGTTGTGTGTGACGTTGTGTGTGACGTTGTGTGTGACGTTGTGTGTGACGTGTGTGTGTGACGTGTGTGTGACGTTGTGTGTGACGTTGTGTGTGACGTTGTGTGTGTGACGTTGTGTGTGTGACGTTGTGTGTGACGTTGTGTGTGTGACGTTGTGTGTGTGACGTTGTGTGTGTGACGTTGTGTGTGACGTTGTGTGTGTGACGTTGTGTGTGACGTTGTGTGTGTGACGTTGTGTGTGACGTTGTGTGTGTGACGTTGTGTGTGACGTTGTGTGTGTGTGACGTTGTGTGTGACGTTGTGTGTGACGTTGTGTGTGTGTGACGTTGTGTGTGTGACGTTGTGTGTGTGACGTTGTGTGTGTGACGTTGTGTGTGACGTTGTGTGTGTGACGTTGTGTGTGACGTTGTGTGTGACGTTGTGTGACGTTGACGTTGTGTGTGTGACGTTGTGTGTGACGTTGTGTGTGACGTTGTGTGTGTGACGTTGTGTGTGTGACGTTGTGTGTGACGTTGTGTGTGACGTTGTGTGTGTGACGTTGTGTGTGTGACGTTGTGTGTGTGACGTTGTGTGTGACGTTGTGTGTGACGTTGTGTGTGACGTTGTGTGTGTGACGTTGTGTGTGACGTTGTGTGTGTGACGTTGTGTGTGACGTTGTGTGTGACGTTGTGTGTGTGACGTTGTGTGTGACGTTGTGTGTGACGTTGTGTGTGTGACGTTGTGTGTGTGACGTTGTGTGTGTGACGTTGTGTGTGACGTTGTGTGTGACGTTGTGTGTGTGACGTGTGTGTGTGACGTTGTGTGTGACGTTGTGTGTGACGTTGTGTGTGACGTTGTGTGTTGACGTTGTGTGTGACGTTGTGTGTGTGACGTTGTGTGTGTGACGTTGTGTGTGACGTTGTGTGTGTGACGTTGTGTGTGACGTTGTGTGTGACGTTGTGTGTGACGTTGTGTGTGACGTTGTGTGTGTGACGTTGTGTGTGGACGTTGTGTGTGACGTTGTGTGTGTGTGTGTGACGTTGTGTGTGACGTTGTGTGTGACGTTGTGTGTGTGACGTTGTGTGTGTGACGTTGTGTGTGACGTTGTGTGTGACGTTGTGTGTGTGACGTTGTGTGTGTGACGTTGTGTGTGACGTTGTGTGTGTGACGTTGTGTGTGACGTTGTGTGTGTGACGTTGTGTGTGTGACGTTGTGTGTGTGACGTTGTGTGTGTGTGACGTTGTGTGTGACGTTGTGTGTGTGACGTTGTGTGTGTGACGTTGTGTGTGACGTTGTGTGTGACGTTGTGTGTGACGTTGTGTGTGTGACGTTGTGTGTGACGTTGTGTGTGACGTTGTGTGTGACGTTGTGTGTGTGACGTTGTGTGTGACGTTGTGTGTGTGACGTTGTGTGTGACGTTGTGTGTGACGTTGTGTGTGACGTTGTGTGTGTGACGTTGTGTGTGACGTTGTGTGTGACGTTGTGTGTGACGTTGTGTGTGTGACGTTGTGTGTGACGTTGTGTGTGTGACGTTGTGTGTGACGTTGTGTGTGTGACGTTGTGTGTGTGTGACGTTGTGTGTGACGTTGTGTGTGACGTTGTGTGTGTGACGTTGTGTGTGACGTTGTGTGTGACGTTGTGTGTGACGTTGTGTGTGACGTTGTGTGTGACGTTGTGTGTGACGTTGTGTGTGACGTTGTGTGTGTGACGTTGTGTGTGACGTTGTGTGTGACGTTGTGTGTGTGACGTTGTGTGTGTGACGTTGTGTGTGACGTTGTGTGTGTGACGTTGTGTGTGACGTTGTGTGTGACGTTGTGTGTGTGACGTTGTGTGTGAGTTGTGTGTGACGTTGTGTGTGTGACGTTGTGTGTGACGTTGTGTGTGTGACGTTGTGTGTGACGTTGTGTGTGTGACGTTGTGTGTGACGTTGTGTGTGTGACGTGTGTGTGTGTGACGTTGTGTGTGTGTGACGTTGTGTGTGACGTTGTGTGTGTGACGTTGTGTGTGTGACGTTTGTGTGTGTTGTGTGTGACGTTGTGTGTGACGTGTGTGTGTGACGTTGTGTGTGACGTTGTGTGTGTGTGTGACGTTGTGTGTGTGACGTTGTGTGTGACGTTGTGTGTGACGTTGTGTGTGTGTGTGTTGTGTGTGTGACGTTGTGTGTGTGACGTTGTGTGTGTGACGTTGTGTGTGACGTTGTGTGTGACGTTGTGTGTGTGACGTTGTGTGTGTGACGTTGTGTGTGACGTTGTGTGTGACGTTGTGTGTGACGTTGTGTGTGACGTTGTGTGTGTGTGTGTGACGTTGTGTGTGTGACGTTGTGTGTGACGTTGTGTGTGTGACGTTGTGTGTGACGTTGTGTGTGTGACGTTGTGTGTGTGTGTGTGACGTTGTGTGACGTTGTGTGTGTGACGTTGTGTGTGACGTTGTGTGTGACGTTGTGTGTGACGTTGTGTGTGACGTTGTGTGTGACGTGTGTGACGTTGTGTGTGTTGTGTGTGTGACGTTGTGTGTGACGTTGTGTGTGTGTGTGACGTGTGTGACGTTGTGTGTGTGACGTTGTGTGTGTTGTTGTGTGTGTGACGTTGTGTGTGACGTTGTGTGACGTTGTGTGTGACGTTGTGTGTGACGTTGTGTGTGTGACGTTGTGTGTGACGTTGTGTGTGACGTTGTGTGTGTGATGTTGTGTGTGTTGTGTGTGTGTGACGTTGTGTGTGACTGTTGTGTGTGACGTTGTGTGTGACGTTGTGTGTGTGACGTTGTGTGTGACGTTGTGTGTGACGTTGTGTGTGTGACGTTGTGTGTGTGACGTTGTGTGTGTGTGTGTGACGTTGTGTGTGTGACGTTGTGTGTGACGTTGTGTGTGTGACGTTGTGTGTGTGACGTTGTGTGTGACGTTGTGTGTGTGACGTTGTGTGTGACGTTGTGTGTGTGAGTTGTGTGTGGTGACGTTGTGTGTGACGTTGTGTGTGACGTTGTGTGTGACGTTGTGTGTGACGTTGTGTGTGACGTTGTGTGTGTGACGTTGTGTGTGTGACGTTGTGTGTGACCGTTGTGTGTGTGACGTTGTGTGTGTGACGTTGTGTGTGACGTTGTGTGTGACGTTGTGTGTGACGTTGTGTGTGTGACGTTGTGTGTGACGTTGTGTGTTGTGTGTGACGTTGTGTGTGACGTTGTGTGTGACGTTGTGTGTGACGTTGTGTGTGACGTTGTGTGTGTGACGTTGTGTGTGTGACGTTGTGTGTGACGTTGTGTGTGTGACGTTGTGTGTGTGACGTTGTGTGTGACGTTGTGTGTGTGACGTTGTGTGTGTGACGTTGTGTGTGTGACGTTGTGTGACGTTGTGTGTGTGACGTTGTGTGTGTGACGTTGTGTGTGACGTTGTGTGTGACGTTGTGTGTGTGACGTTGTGTGTGTGACGTTGTGTGTGTGATGTTGTGTGTGTGACGTTGTGTGTGTGACGTTGTGTGTGACGTTGTGTGTGTGACGTTGTGTGTGTGACGTTGTGTGTGTGACGTTGTGTGTGACGTTGTTGTGTGACGTTGTGTGTGACGTTGTGTGTGACGTTGTGTGTGTGACGTTGTGTGTGACTTGTGTGTGTGACGTTGTGTGTGACGTTGTGTGTGTGACGTTGTGTGTGACGTTGTGTGTGACGTTGTGTGTGTGACGTTGTGTGTGTGACGTTGTGTGTGTGACGTTGTGTGTGACGTTGTGTGTGTGACGTTGTGTGTGACGTTGTGTGTGTGACGTTGTGTGTGACGTTGTGACGTTGTGTGTGTGACGTTGTGTGTGATGTTGTGTGTGACGTTGTGTGTGACGTTGTGTGACGTTGTGTGTGTGTGTGACATTGTGTGTGTGACGTTGTGTGTGTGACGTGTGTGTGACGTTGTGTGTGACGTTGTGTGTTACGTTGTGTGTGACGTTGTGTGACGTTGTGCTTGACGTTGTGTGTGTGAGTGACGTTGTGTGTGACGTTGTGTGTGATGTTGTGTGTGTGACGTTGTGTGTGATGTTGTGTGTGTGACGTTGTGTGTGACGTTGTGCGTGACGTTTATGTGTGTGTGACGTTGTGTGTGACGTTGTGTGTGTGACGTTGTGTGTGACGCTGTGTGTGACGTTGTGTGTGTGTGTGACATTGTGTGTGTGACGTTGTGTGTGTGACGTTGTGTGTGACGTTGTGTGTGTGACGTTGTGTGTGACGTTGTGTGTGTAACGTTGTGTGTGATGTTGTGTGTGACGTTGTGTGTGTGACGTTGTGTGTGTGACGTTGTGTGTGACGTTGTGTGTGACGTTGTGTGTGACGTTGTGTGTGACGTTGTGTGTGTGACGTTGTGTGTGACGTTGTGTGTGTGACGTTGTGTGTGTAATGTTGTGTGTGTGACGTTGTGTGTGTGACGTTGTGTGTGTGAGTGACATTGTGTGTGACGTTGTGTGTGACGTTGTGTGTGACGTGTGTGACGTTGTGTGTGTGACGTTGTGTGTGTGACGTTGTGTGTGACGTTGTGTGTGTGACGTTGTGTGTGACGTTGTGTTTGTGATGTTGTGTGTGTGACGTTGTGTGACGTTGTGTGTGTGACGTTGTGTGTGACGTTGTGTGTGTGATGTGTGTGTGACGTTGTGTGTGATGTTGTGTGTGACGTCGTGCTTGACGTTGTGTGTGATGTGTGTGTGACGTTGTGTGTGTGACGTTGTGTATGACGTTGTGTGTGTGACGTTGTGTGTGTGACGTTGTGTGTGACGTTGTGCGTGACATTGTGTGTGTGACGTTGTGTGTGTGACGTTGTGTGTGTGACATTGTGTGTGACATTGTGTGTTTGACGTTGTGTGTGACGTTGTGTGTGACGTTGTGTGTGTGACGTTGTGTGTGACGTTGTGTGTGTGACGTTGTGTGTGTGACGTTGTGTGTGACGTTGTGTGTGTGACGTTGTGTGTGTGACGTTGTGTGTGTGACGTTGTGTGTGACGTTGTGTGTGTGACGTTGTGTGTGACGTTGTGTGCTTCTGCAGAGTGGCTGTACTCCCCCGGTTCCCCGCTGATCGCACTCTGACCATCACTTTGAGCAGACGAGTAGAAGGACGATACGTGTCTGTGGTTCTACAGGAAACCAACAGGAATCTGAGTCTGTGCAAAGTGGAGGTCTACGGGTACCACGCCCCAACTGGTGAGAGAGACCAGAGAGAGAGAGACCAGAGAGAGAGACCAGAGAGAGAGACCACAGAGAGAGAACGAGACCAGAGAGAGAGACCAGAGAGAGAACGAGACCAGAGAGAGAGACCAGAGAGAGAGAACGAGACCAGAGAGAGAGACCAGAGAGATACCAGAGAGAGACCAGAGAGAGACCAGAGAGAGACGCCAGACCTTCCATGTAACTTCAGTAGGTGTTTCTCTGCAGGAGAGAACCTGGCGCTCCGAGGTAAAGCCTCACAGTCCACTCTCTATGGTAACCACTTTGCCTCCAACGCCATCGATGGAAACCGGAACAGAGACTGGAACACTTGCTCTCACACGGGGCACACCATGAACGCCTGGTGGAGACTGGACCTCGGCAAAACTCACCGGATTTTCTCCGTGAACGTCACAAACGCACCAGGAGTTCACACTCGGCTGAACGGAGCCGAGATCTGCATCGGAGACTCGCTGGACAACGACGGCAACAACAACCCACGGTACATGGTCCTTTAGCTCAAACTGGTCCCTATAGAGCCGGAAAGGGGGGGGGGGTGCACTGCTGTGGGACCCTAAAGTCGACAAGAATTAGAGACTTCTCCCCGACCTGAAAGTGCAGGGACACGACCCACTCATTCACCTGAGAACGCCAACACAGGGAGCTGAGATTACTCAGTCTCAGACCGGAGAGTGAGAGAGAGGGGAGAGAGACCTGAGAGAGAGAGAGAGGGGAGAGAGACCTGAGAGAGAGACCTGAGAGAGAGAGAGAGGGGAGAGAGACCTGAGAGAGAGAGAGAGGGGAGAGAGACCTGAGAGAGAGACCTGAGAGAGAGAGAGAGGGGAGAGAGACCTGAGAGAGAGACCTGAGAGAGAGAGAGAGGGGAGACCTGAGAGAGAGACCTGAGAGAGAGAGAGAGGGGAGAGAGACCTGAGAGAGAGACCTGAGAGAGAGAGAGAGGGGAGAGAGACCTGAGAGAGAGAGGGGAGAGAGACCTGAGAGAGAGAGAGGGGAGAAAGACCTGAGCGAGAGAGAGAGGGGAGAGAGACCAGAGAGAGAGAGAGAGAGAGAGGGGAGAAAGACCTGAGAGAGAGAGACCTGAGAGAGAGAGACCCCTGAGACTAGAGCAGTGTTGTGTTGTTGTATGTTGTGTGTCATGTTGTGTTGTGTTGCAGTTGTGTGTCATGTTGTGTGTTGTGTTGCAGTTGTGCAGTCATCAGCACCATCGCTCCTGGTTTCACTCAGGGCTACGACTGCAGAGGGATGGACGGTCGCTACGTTACCACAGTGATCCCAGGACAGACTGAGTACCTGGTTCTGGCCGAGGTGGAGGTCTATGGCTCTGTCCTGGACTAGTATGTGTGTGTATGTGTGTGTGAGTGAGACCAGAGTTCACTTACACTGTGTAGACTGTGACTTCTGATATTGACATGTTTAGTTTGTTCTGTTTCTTCTCTGCTGCACTTTGAGACTGTTGTTAATGTGATTTTATAAATAAAGCTTATTTGAATATTTCATCAAGTTGAATAAATGTGGACACAGCACAACACTGAGACCAGAGAGAGACCAGAGAGAGATCAGGGAGAGACCATAGAGAGACCAGAGAGAGATCAGGGAGAGACCAGAGAGAGACCAGAGAGAGACCAGAGAGAGAGACCAGAAAGAGAGACCAGAGAGAGACCAGAGAGAGAGACCAGAGAGTGACCAGAGAAAGAGAGACCAGAGAGAGACCAGAGAGAGACTAGAGAGAGACCAGAGAGAGACCAGAGAGAGATCAGGGAGAGACCAGAGCGGGAGAGTAAAGACCCAGAAACAGTTAAAATCACATTTTTTATTAAAAAGTCAGATATAAAAGACATAAAAGGGAGAGAGTCCAAACTGGGCTTTGACACAAAACTGTTATGACAGAAATGTTTGATTTCACATTTGTCCAGACACCAGCGCACATGGTCACAGCAGAGTACTCGAGTATATTTGATATCTGACTACGGTAGAACCTATTACTTCAAAAACAACCGTGTGTTTAGCATTGGCAGCTTTTAGCATTCACTAAAGGCACAAATGACAAAGAAAATATGAAAAGGATTAAAAAGATAATTTTATTCTCTCTCTCTGGTCTCTCTCTCTGGTCTCTCTCTGGTCTCTCTCTGGTCTCTCTCTGGTCTCTCTCTGGTCTCTCTCTGGTCTCTCTCTGCTCTCTCTCTGGTCTCTCTCTGGTCTCTCTCTGGTCTCTCTCTGGTCCCTCTCTGGTCCCTCTCTGGTCTCTCTCTGGTCTCTCTCTGGTCCCTCTCTGCTCTCTCTCTCTGGTCTCTCTCTCTGCTCTCTCTCTCTGGTCTCTCTCTGGTCTCTCTCTCTGGTCTCTCTCTCTGGTCTCTCTCTCTGGTCTCTCTCTCTGGTCTCTCTGGTCTCCCTCTGGTCTCAGAGTCACAGTTGTCGTCATAAACAGCAGATTTCATATTCTGTAAATTATTTATATTTTTACCTGTTTCATTATGATTTTGCAGACCTTTGTAACAGACACATAAATCAAACATGGACCATGTGTCCCGTGTGGACCATGTGGACCGTGTGTGAAGGACATAACACTTTATGGTTCTGTGTGTAATGTAACAGCACAAACACATGTTTTTAAAACAGGAGCATTCACACCGTCCTTTGGCAAAAACAATGAAAGAACAAATCACACACAATGCTAACCCGCTAGCTCAATGCTAACCCGCTAGCTAGATACTAACCGGCTAGCTCCATGCCAACCCGCTAGCTAGATTCTAACCCGCTATCTAGATGCTAACCTACTAGCTCGATAGTAACCCGCTAGCTAGATGCTAACCCGCCATTTTGATGCTAACCTACTAGCTCGATAGTAACCCGCTAGCTCGATGCTAACCCGCTAGCTCTGTGGTTTCTCTCTCTGTGGTTTCTCTCTCTCTCTGTGGTTTCTCTCTCTCTGTGGTTTCTCTCTCTGTGGTTTCTCTCTCTGTGGTTTCTCTCTCTCTGTGATCCTGCTATTTATATTTGATGTTGTCTTTGTACATGTATGAGCCATACAGAGACCAGAGAGAGACCAGAGAGAGAGACAAGAGAGAGGAGAGAGACCAGAGAAAGACCAGAGAGAAAGACCAGAGAGAGGAGAGAGACCAGAGAGAGGAGAGAGACCAGAGAGAAAGACCAGAGAGAGATGAGAGAGACCAGAGAGAGGAGAGAGACCAGAGAGAAAGACCAGAGAGAGATGAGAGAGACCAGAGAGAGGAGAGAGACCAGAGAGAGACCAGAGAGAGATGAGAGAGAGACCAGAGAGAGAGACCAGAGAGAGAGACCAGAGAGAGAGACCAGAGAGAGACCAGAGGGACCAGAGAGAGAGAGACCAGAGAGAGACCAGAGAGAGAGACCAGAGAGAGAGACCAGAGAGAGACCAGAGAGAGAGACCAGAGAGAGACCAGAGAGAGAGACCAGAGAGAGAGACCAGAGAGAGACCAGAGAGAGACCAGAGGGACCAGAGCTGAGCTGTAGCAGGAGGGTGATACCTGCTGGTGTAGAGTCCTTGTGTGTGTGTCTGTGTGTGTGTGCGTGTGTGTGTCTGTGTGTGTGTGTGTGTGTGTGTGTGTGTGTCTGTGTGTGTGTGTCTCTGTGTGTGTGTGTGTGTCTGTGTGTGTGTCTCTGTGTGTGTGTGTTTGTCTGTGTCTGTGTGTGTGTGTTTGTCTGTGTGTGTGTGTGTGTCTGTGTCTGTGTGTGTGTGTCTGTGTCTGTGTGTGTGTGTCTGTCTGTGTGTGTGTGTGTGTGTGTGTGTGTGTGTGTGTCTGTCTGTGTGTGTGTGTGTGTCTGTGTGTGTGTTTGTCTGTGTGTCTGTGTGTGTGTGTGTGTCAGTGTGTCTGTGTCTGTCTGTATGTGTGTCTCTGTGTGTGTGTGTCTGTTATCTGTCCAGTCTCTGGTGTGTAGAGACTTTGAGCACTTTGTAGATGTCGTTGGTAAAGACGGTGGTGAAGTGCGGCTGAGAGCTCCTGCTGAGGACAGAGCACAGCGGCACTTTACCCACGTTCTCCTGGTCCTCCACGTCCCAGATCTCAGGCATACTGCAGCCCGGCCTGTAGGGGGAGACAGAGAGACACTGAGACCAGAGAGACCAGAGAGACCAGAGAGAGGCCTGTAGGGGGAGACAGAGAGACACTGAGACCAGAGACCAGAGAGACCAGAGAGACCAGAGAGACCAAAGAGAGGCCTGTAGGGGGAGACAGAGAGACACTGAGACCAGAGAGACCATAGAGACCAGAGAGAGGCCTGTAGGGGGAGACAGAGAGACACTGAGACCAGAGAGACCAGAGAGAGGCCTGTAGGGGGAGACAGAGAGACACTGAGACCAGAGAGAGGCCTGTAGGGGGAGACAGAGAGACACTGAGACCAGAGAGACCAGAGAGAGGCCTGTAGGGGGAGACAGAGAGACACTGAGACCAGAGACCAGAGAGACCAGAGAGACCAGAGAGACCAAAGAGAGGCCTGTAGGGGGAGACAGAGAGACACTGAGACCAGAGAGACCAGAGAGACCATAGAGACCAGAGAGAGGCCTGTAGGGGGAGACAGAGAGACACTGAGACCAGAGAGACCAGAGAGACCAGAGAGACCAGAGAGACCAGAGAGACCAGAGTGACCAGAGAGACCAGAGTGACCAGAGAGACCAGAGAGAGGCCTGTAGGGGGAGACAGAGAGACACTGAGACCAGAGACCAGAGAGAACAGAGAGAGGCCTGTAGGGGGAGACAGAGAGACACTGAGACCAGAGACCAGCGAGACCAGAGAGACCAGAGACCAGAGAGAGGCCTGTAGGGGGAGACAGAGAGACACTGAGACCAGAGACCAGAGAGACCAGAGAGACCAGAGAGAGACCAGATAGACCAGAGAGAGGCCTGTAGGGGGAGACAGAGAGACACTGAGACCAGAGACCAGAGAGACCAGAGAGACCAGAGAGACCAGAGAGAGGCCTGTAGGGGGAGACACTGAGACCAGAGAGACCAGAGAGACCAGAGAGAGACCAGAGAGACAAGAGAGACCAGAGAGAGGCCTGTAGGGGGAGACAGAGAGACACTGAGACCAGAGACCAGAGACCAGAGAGACCAGAGAGACCAGAGAGAGGCCTGTAGGGGGAGACAGAGAGACACTGAGACCAGAGACCAGAGAGACCAGAGAGACCAGAGAGAGACCAGAGAGACAAGAGAGACCAGAGAGAGGCCTGTAGGCGGAGACAGAGAGACACTGAGACCAGAGACCAGAGAGACCAGAGAGATCAGAGAGATCAGAGAGATCAGAGAGACCAGAGAGATCAGAGAGACCAGAGAGACCAGAGACCAGAGAGAGGCCTGTAGGGGGAGACAGAGAGACACTGAGACCAGAGACCAGAGAGACCAGAGAGACCAGAGAGACCAGAGTGACCAGAGACACCAGAGAGACCAGAGACCAGAGTGACCAGAGACACCAGAGAGACCAGAGTGACCAGAGACCACTGTTAGTGATTAGTATCTTTCTTATGGTTTACATGTTGCAGTGGAATACAAGGAGCCTCATTGCAAACGGACAAGAGTTTAAAAAGTTCATTAGGGATTTTCACCCACAACCTCATATTACATGTGTCCAGGAAACGTGGCTAAAACCTAACCTTGATTTTGTCATCCCGGGCTCTGCGACCGCCGTAAGGATAGAGTGAGCAGGGTTAGTGGGAGGGGTCCAGTATAAAGGGTATGAGTGGGAGGGGTCCAGTATAAAGGGTATGAGTGGGAGGGGTCCAGTATAAAGGTATGGTGGGAGGGGTCCAGTATAAAGGGTATGGTGGGAGGGGTCGCTTGAGTGTGTGATAATGGAGGTATGGTGTAACGAGGGTAACTTATGTTTGATTAATTGTTATAACCCATGTAAGCCTTTGATTCTGACTGAACTAGAGGATATCTTTAGCAAGACTGGGCCGTCTGTGATCTGGGTGGGGGACTTCACTGCCCATGACCCTTTATGGGGTAGCCAGGAAAAGGAAGCAAATGGAGCTGTTATTGAAGAGTTTTTAGATATTGTAAACTTCATTGTTATGAATGGAAGTGTGCCAACTCGGTTTGATTTTAAATCAGGTTAGGGATCATGTTTAGACATGCAATAGGTACACTGCATGAGATTCTGGTCTTATTGAAGTACATCTGGGAGGAGGGCGTGTTCCCAAGGGCCTATAGTGAAGCCAGGAAAGGATCCGTCCTCTTCGTCCTCGCACAGGCCATAGCTTTGACATCTGTGTTGTGAACGTGACGGAGAGGACGGCCACTCAGAGACTCGTTTATACTTTGGAAACCACAGGGTTTTTTGTCAAGTATCAAAATGGTTTTAGAAGAGGAAGAAGTACAGTTGAATCAGTGGCGGTTTTAGACCGAGATGTCAGGAGAGATACAGTATTATTAAAAAAGTGTTTTTAGATATAGAAAAGGCATATGACAGTGGAGAGAGGGTTCACTTCTTAAGTTACATGATGCTGGGGTTCATGGAAGGTTGTTCCATTGGGTCAAAAACGTCCTGAGTGATAGATCAATCCAGGTGAGAATTAGACATGTATGGTCAGGTGCTGTAGAGGTAGCTAATGGAACAGTATTGTTTAACATAATGATTAATAATATTTTTGAAGGAGTGGATTACAGATTAAATTACAGGTAAATCTCCCTTTCCTGATGACGGTGCAGTTTGGAAGAGCGGGAGGAACCTCAATCATTTGTTCTCTCAAACACAGAAAGCTTTAGATCAGATTATTCAGTGGGCAAAGTGTTGGAGGTTCAAGTTGTCTATTGACAAAAGTAAATTTATGATTTTTGGGTTGAAGAGAAACATTCCCTCATGTAATCTCTACATGTATGGATCAGTTATTGAAAAGGTTAAAAAGTTTAAATTCTTGGGGTTGTGGTTTGACGAAAAACTAATTTGGAGAGAGCATATCGGGAAAATGGTTAGCAAATGTGAGAAAGTTATTAACATTATGAGGAGTCTCTCAGGTAGTGACTGGGGGGCAGAGAGGTATACCTTACAGCTGATTTACAGGGCTATGATTAGGCCTATTTTAGATTATGGCAGTGTAGCTTTTGGGAGTGCCTCTAAATCTGTGTTAGAAGTTTTGGATCGTGTGCAGACTAAAGCCCTAAGAATCTGTTGTGGAGCATTCAGAACTACCTCTATCCCAGCATTGCTTGTGGAAATGGGTGAATTTCCTTTAAGAATGAGACGGGAGAAGCTCGGTGTTCAGTATTGGACTAGATTGGCCGGGGCCAGTAACAGTGTAGCAGCAAAATGCCTTTTGGATGAGTGCTGGGAGTTCAGCAAAAAACAGGACGAGGGAGGTTTTATAATGCATGTTGTGAAGGCTGCAGAGGACTTGGGACTGCAGAAGGATAGAGTGGTGGGGTGGGGGTGGTCTCCAGGTCAGGTTTGAAGGCTGCAGAGAAGTTGGGACTGCAGAAGGATAGAGTGGTGGGGTGGGGGTGGTCTCCAGGTCAGGTTTGGAGGTTGCCTGAGCCTGAGGTTTATGTGGATTTGCTTGGTATGAATAAAGCGGCTGCTTCCAGGCATGTAAAGATGTATTTAAATGAGCAAAAAGATGTTGTCAAAGTTTTCACTGATGGTTTTAAAGAAGAGCAGCCGCAAAGAACGGGTTTTGGAATTTATATCGCTCAGTTGCAGATTATGCAAATTGTCCGTGTTACAGACGAGCTGTCGATTTTTTCTGCTGAACTATTTCCTATACAGTGGGCTCTGTGGTGGATTAAAAACACAGCGTTTTACAATCTGTCATTTGCTCTGATTCTGCTGCTGCACTACTGGCCCTTAGGAGTCAGATGCCAGGCCAGATATGCTCTTTGAGATTTTGTGCTGTTTGAAACAAATTGAGGATGTGGGTCCCTCTGTTTCGTTTGTTTGGGTGCCTCTGTTTTGTTTGTTTGGGTCCCTGGGCAGTCGGGGGTGGAGGGAAATGAAAAGGCTGAGGCTCTGGCCAAAGAATCACTTCATAGAGACGCTATAGATTATCATCTTCATTTGGGGAAAGAGAGTGTTACAGCATTAGTAAAAAATATTTTCAAAGTCAGTGGCAGAAAGAGGAGAGGGAGACCAGGGGGAGACTGTATTATTCATGTCAATCATCAGCCTGTAGCTGAGGGGCGTAGAGAGGAAGTCGTTCTCACTAGAGTCAGACTGGGGCACTGTGGACTTGCAGCTTCTTTGTATAGAATAAGTAAACATGCAGATGGACTGTGCACTTGTGGGACATTGGAGACTGTAAATCACATCTTGTCATGCAGCAAACACTCCAAGGAACGACAACAACTTTTTGTGGAATTGGCTGATTTGGGGCTAACTTCTTTTTCATTTAAGTCAATTTTTTCAAATCGTGAAAACACCCAAGGAGTTAACAGAGCCATTGTTTTATTCCTCCGCCGCAAAGGGACTTTTTTGAGAATTTAGAGTACTGACGGTTTCATAACTGTGGAGGGCAGTACTGGGCACGCCAGCGTACAGCCTGCCGGAATTAAGTAGAAGAAGAAGAAGAAGACCAGAGAGACCAGAGAGACCAGAGAGACCAGAGACCAGAGAGAGGCCTGTAAGGGGAGACAGAGGGCACACTGAGACCAGAGAGACCAGAGAGAGACAAGAGAGAGACCAGACAGAAACCAGAGAGAGACTAGGGAAAAGACTAGAAAGATATAGAGACCAGAGAGAGACCAGAGAGGTGTCCATGTGGATTCCCAGCTAGTTTATGCGAAATGGACCCTCACACTCACCTGGTCCTCCTGGTGCACCATGAGTCCTCCAGGACAAAGTAGTCCACTCCGAGCTTCTGCAGGTTCCTGGTCACGGTCTCTCCCGACATGCGGCTATACATGGAGTAGACCAGCTTGGTTCTCTCTCTGACCAAACACAAGGATACCAGATGTTATTTCTATGGTACAGTTTTCCTCCTAAGGGCGACAGTAGCTCAGTTGGTAGAGCATTGGCCTTTGCGCCTGAAGGTCGTGGGTTCGAGCCCACCGTAAGACCTATTTCACGACTCCCACTGATGGCTGCTGTCGTTGTGTCCTTGGGCAAGACACTTAACCCTACTTTGCCCAAAGCCCCAACTGAAAGATCTCAGCTCCTGTGGACTCAGCACCTGCAGGAGGATCAGTGAAAGATGCTCTGTGGGCTGGTGCAGCTCTGACTGCCACCCCCCCAACCCAGAAAGGGATTAAGGGGAAGAAAATGGATGAATGGAGTTTTCCTCCTGTACCGTGTCTGGTGCAGTCTGTTGCACATGGTTCTCTCTCTGACCTGAGACCAGCGTCTTCATAGTGCGGGTGGTTGACGATGGGTCTCCCTGTGGACAGCTTCACACTGGCCATGGTGGGCATTGCACCAGCAAACACAGCATCTGCACATACCAGAGAGATCAGAGGCCAGAGAGAGACCAGAGAGAGACCAGAGAGAGACCAGAGACAGACCAGAAGAGAGACCAGAAGAGAGTGACCAGAGAGAAACCAGAGAGAGACCAGAGAGAGAGACCAGAGAGAGAGACCAGAGAGACACCAGAAGAGAGTGACCAGAGAGAGAGACCAGAGAGAGACCAGGGTTTCTCACTGTGGGGGGTGTTGTCCTGGATCCACTCCAGCAGCTCCTCCTGAGGCATGTTGCTGAACTCTCCGATGATGCTCCACTGAGACTGAAGGTTGGACACGCCCTGTATCGCCATGACGACCAGGATACAGGACACTGCCATCTGCTGCTTCGACCGCTCTGCCACCCACCCAAACATCTGAGGGGAGAAACCTCAGTCCTGGGTCTACAGCCTCAGTCCTGGGTCTACAGCCTCAGTCCTGGATCTACAGTCTCAGTCCTGGATCTACAGGCTCAGTCCTGGGTCTACAGCCTCAGTCCTGGGTCTACAGCCTCAGTCCTGGGTCTACAGACCTGTTTGGAGCAGAGCAGAGAGGCCATGATGCACATGTGAGGAGTGAGGAAGAGCTTCAGCCTCATGATGAGAAGAGCCAGGACCAGGAAGGCTCCCAGCTGCAGACTGTGGTATACCAGCTGAGAGAGACCAGAGACACGTTAGTACCAGCTGAGAGAGACCAGAGACATGTTAGCACCAGCTGAGAGAGACCAGAGACATGTTAGCACCAGCTGAGAGAGACCAGAGACATGTTAGCACCAGCTGAGAGAGACCAGAGACATATTAGCACCAGCTGAGAGAGACCAGAGACATATTAGCACCAGCTGAGAGAGACCAGAGACATATTAGCACCAGAGAGAGACCATCACAGTGGTGATGTCACACTCTGTCAATCCACTTTCTCAATATATACTCTATGGTTAGAACACTGTAGTACCAGCTCGGCCCAGAAAGAACCAGGAGCAAGAGGGACTAAAGAAGGAGAAGAGTAGAGTAGAGTAGAGTAGAGTAGAGTAGAGTAGAGTAGAGTAGGGAAGAGTAGAGTAGGGTAGGGTAGGGTAAAGTAGAGTAGAGTAGAGTAGAGTAGAGTAGAGTAGAGTAGGGTAGGGTAGGGTAGGGTAGGGTAGAGTAGAGTAGAGTAGGGTAGAGTAGAGTAGAGTAGGGTAGGGTAGTGTAGAGTAGGGTAGGGTAGGGTAAAGTAGAGTAGAGTAGAGTAGGGTAGGGTAGGGTAGAGTAGGGTACGGTAGAGTAGAGTAGGGTAGAGTAGCGTAGGGTAGGGTAGGGTAGGGTAAAGTAGAGTAGAGTAGAGTAGAGTAGAGTAGAGTAGAGCAGAGCAGAGCAGAGTAGAGTAGGGTAGGGTAAAGTAGAGCAGAGTAGAGCAGAGTAGGGTAGGGTAGAGTAGAGTAGAGTAGAGTAGAGTAGGGTAGGGTAGGGTAGAGTAGAGTAGAGTAGAGTAGAGTAGAGTAGAGTAGAGTAGAGTAGAGTAGAGTAGAGCAGAGCAGAGCAGAGCAGAGTAGAGTAGAGTAGAGTAGGGTAGAGTAGGGTAGGGTAGGGTAGGGTAGAGTAGAGTAGAGTAGAGTAGAGCAGAGTAGAGTAGGGTAGGGTAAAGTAGAGCAGAGTAGAGCAGAGTAGGATAGAGTAGAGCAGAGTAGGGTAGGATAGAGTAGAGTAGAGTAGAGCAGAGCAGAGTAGGATAGAGTAGGGTAGAGTAGAGCCCTCACCTCTCCTCTTGCTTCCATGTCTGACCTACAAACACAGAGTAAAGTTAAAGAACATCTCTATGTTAAACAGAGACACAGACGTAGAGCTCTGACCCTGGTTCTTCAGACACCTCCTCTTTGGCTCCGCCTCTCAGGACCATCACCACGTCCTGCAGCGTCTGCAAACCAGGAGAGAGAACCATGTGAGACAGGACCATGTGAGAGAACCAGCAGGGAGAACCAAGTGAGAGCGTTACTATAGAGTCTGAGGGTTCATTCTCATCACAGGATTAAAACATGAAAATACTTCAGCCTACTCTACTCTACTCTACTCTACTCTACCCTACCCTACCCTACCCTACCCTACCCTACTCTACTCTACTCTACTCTACTCTACTCTACTCTACTCCAGGGGTTCCCAAAGTTTTCAGCCCGCGACCCCCATCATAAACACGCTGCTTCCCCGTGACCCCCCCCCCAACAGCCCTTCCGTCACATGAAATGAGCAGTATTTCCTTGATACGGAGTAACGCAGAGACTCGCTCCACTACTGAGCTGCACTGTCCAGCCCAGAAAAGGAGGCTTGTGTATTTTTACTCACGTAGTGACACAGTGATGGGCTTGGTGGGCTCCCTTCTTAGCAGAGGTGGAGCGCATTTCTTGCGGCTCGCCCTCAATGTTCTCTGACCGCGGTAAAGTGGCCCGGCTTTTTCGGAGTCAGCGGTAAAGAGGTCCGCACATTAAAAGCAGGCGGCCGCTTTCTGCTGTTACTTTATGTGGTTCATCCCCGCGGCTCCTTTTTTTCAAAGTTACTGTAAGTAACAGCATAAACCGGCCACCCGCTTTTAATCATTACTAGAGTAGAGTAGAGCAGGGTAGAGTAGGGTAGGGTAGGGTAGAGCAGAGCAGAGCAGAGCAGAGCAGAGCAGGGTAGGGTAGGGTAGAGTAGAGTAGAGTAGGGTAGGGTAGAGTAGGGTAGAGTAGGGTAGGGTAGGGTAGGGTAGGGTAGGGTAGGGTAGAGCAGAGTAGAGTAGGGTAGGGTAGGGTAGAGTAGAGTAGGGTAGGGTAGAGAGCAGAGTAGAGTAGAGTAGAGTAGAGTAGGGTAGGGTAGAGTAGGGTAGAGTAGAGTAGAGTAGAGTAGGGTAAGGTAGAGTAGGGTAGGGTAGAGTAGAGTAGGGTAGAGCAGAGTAGAGTAGAGTAGAGTAGGGTAGAGTAGAGTAGAGTAGAGTAGAGTAGGGTAGAGTAGAGTGGAGTAGAGTAGGGTAGAGCAGAGTAGGCTGGTTGAAACACGGTGAATGTTTACATGCTATCTTCATCTTCTAAAAACATGTTTTCTTTAATGAACCATGTGAGTTCCAGACAGTGTGGGTTTAAATCTAGGTACCTGAGCTTTAACTTAGCGTGTGTATTATAACATGCTAACACACGGCTCAGACAGAGGTGATGTCACTTACCCTCCACACGATCACAGCCACCACCAGGACGTTCACGGGCAGCAGCAGAGTTTTCAGGTAACGGACGGGAGTCTGAGGACGAGAGAGACCTCAGAAAACTCTAACTTAGACATGACTTAAAGATAGACATGTGTTTAGGTACCTCCAACTCTAACTTAGACATGACTTAAAGATGTGTTTACAGTGCCTTGCGAAAGTATTCGGCCCCCTTGAACCTTTCAACATTTTGCCACATTTCAGTCTTCAAACATAAAAATATAAAATTTTATTTTTTTGTCATGAATCAACAACAAGTGGGACACAATCGTGAAGTGGAACAAAATTTATTGGATAATTTAAACTTTTTAAAAAAATAAAAAACTGAAAAGTGGGGCGTGCAATATTATTCGGCCCCTTTACTTTCAGTGCAGCAAACTCACTCCAGAAGTTCAGTGAGGATCTTTGAATGATCCAATGTTGTCCTAAATGACTGATGATGATAAATAGAATGCACCTGTGTGTAATCAAGTCTCCCTATAAATGCACCTGCTCTTTGATAGTCTCAGGGTTCTGTTTAAAACGCAGAGAGAACCATGAAGACAAAGGAACACACCAGGCAGGTCCGAGATACTGTTGTGGTGAAGTTTAAAGCCGGATTTGGATACAAAAAGATTTCCCAAGCTTTAAACATCTCAAAGAGCACTGTGCAAGCAGTTATATTGAAATGGAAGGAGTATCAGACCACTGAAAATCTACCAAGACCCGGCCGTCCCTCCAAACTTTCATCTCAAACAAGGAGAAGACTGATAAGAGATGCAGCCAAGAGGCCCATGATCGCTCTGAATGAACTGCAGATAACTACAGCTGAGGTGGGAGAGTCTGTCCATAGGACAACAATCAGTCGTGCACTGCACACATCTGGCCTTTATGGAAGAGTGGCCATTTCTCAAAGATATCCGATAAAAGTCTCTTAAAGTTTGCCACAAGCCACCTGGGAGACACACCAAACATGTGGAAGAAGGTGCTCTGGTCAGATGAAACCAAAATCAAACTTTTTGGCCACAATGCAAAACAATATATTTGGCGTAAAAGCAACACAGCTCATCACCCTGAACACACCATCCCCACCTCAGCTGTACAGTAGGTCCCATTTTGTTTTGTCGTCTTCACCCACGCTTTTCATGAATCACGCAGCTGCGTGAAACATATTACATCTTATCGCCACAAGGTGGCAGGTTAAGTCCGCTTTAGCTCTGCCAGCGACTCAAACGCTCAGGTATAAGTCTGCGTGCAAACATCATCTGCCTAGTGATACTATGTTGGCCCAATGGTTTGAGTTGCAGGTTGGGATCCGGAGGATCTGGGTTCGATTCTTGTCTGAAGCAATTTTGGTTGCACACCTTTTGGTTGCTTGTGTGCAATTACGTAACGTTATCAGCTTGTTATCTTCTTTCCTTGTCAAAAGGATTTTTGCTCACTTCGGGCCTATCAAAACGCGGTTTAAAGTCAAAGGATTGACTCTGTAAAACACTGTACTAACTTACTGCACTGTATTGTAAGTACTGTAACAATACAATTGTATTTTACTTTATTACTTATTTTTACTTCTTATTTTTTAATAAAAACACTTCTTCAAAAGTTCCTTTCTGACTTCTTCTACAGTATGGGATAGCCAGCAGCAAGTGCGTTATTGAACATGAAACATTGGAACAAAACACGAGTGTACACTGTATTCTGAATACTTTTACTTTGATTAGCAATATATAGGCTGTGTATAATTACAAAAATTTAAACTACACATGTTACATATAGCTACCATTAATTAGGAATTCTAAAATGCACAGGAGTAGAAGATCATATGGCAAACATTTGCATTAACTTGCATATAAGGCATTTTAAGCGTCCCGCACATACGCACGGCTCATTCACTCAGCGATTTGTCCTATTAGATCCAGTGTTTTCTCCAGCGCCTGTGTGGCGTAGCAGGATTGTCCAAGACTTTCGCTTGGATGATCGGGGTTCAAGCCCCGGCCAATCCTCAATTTTTATTAGCGGGGGGAGTATATGAATCAGATTACTCCGTTACTGAATAAAGTTGCATTTTTTTCCTGCAGTTTGGTTAGTGCAGATTGTGAAGTTTACAACAGTTTACTACAGTCTAGCAACTATTTTAAATGTGTTGGCCTAATTACTAAGTATTTTTTATTTAACACTGGAGAAAACGTGCTCGGTTTTTGCTCGCCTGAGTGATAGGCTACAGTAGGTCCCATTTCGTTTTGTCGTCTTCATTCACGCTTTTCGGGAATCACGCAGCTGCGTGAAAAATATTACATCTTATCGCCACAAGGTGGCAGGTTAAGTCCGCTTTAGCTCTGCCAGCGACTTAAACGCTCAGGTATAAGACTGCGTGCAAACCTGTTTTGCCTAGTGACGCACACATGTGGCGCAGAACTAAAAAAGGTCTTGTTATGACTCTCAAATCATTAATGACAAAACAAAGACTAAGGCTATATCCACACGAAGACAAAACGCTTATAATTTCAGAAACGTTTTCTGTAAACACGGAGTTAGCTCAGTAAATGTGTGCGTCCATATGAATGTAGTCAATACGCCTGAAAACGCTGTGAAACTATGCCAGACCTGTTGGTGGCGCTGTGACGCAATGACGGGATCAAGCCCAAACTTCCGTGACGGGAACTGGGCATGCGCAGAATTTTGTAAACAGACAACATGGCGAGTGGGCGAGCTGGTACCACATTAGTATGGACGGACGATGAGGTTGAACTGTTGCTTCGGGTCACACTGGATTATAAAACCAACAAGCTACAAGAAAGTGTAGACTGGGAGACGTGTATGTCCAAATACACGGACATCATGTCGGCCTTTCAGGAGCAATATCCACGCGACTCTCCGGACAGAGATTTCCCACATGACTCCACAGCGATAACTAAAGGCCAATTAACCGCCAAAATTAAAAACATCAGAGGGAAATACAGGCAGGCAGTGGACAGTGGGCGACGGAGTGGCCATGGGCGTGTGGTGCTCATGTTTTTTGAACTCTGCGAGGAGATCTGGGGAGGATCGCCTGCAACACGCTCCATTGAACAAGGCATTGAGACGGCGGACCTGGTCGAGACGTCTTCATCGACCTCGGAGCTGCCCCCTGACTCGCCACAGTCGTCAGACTCTGTTGAAAGTCTGCTGCCTCCTCCAGTCGTAAGGCAGCGCAGAGAGATGCTGCAGGTAGGCAACAACATCAATGCGCTGATTATTTACTTTAATTATGTAAGACATAACTGTGTAAGATGAAAGGGTTTGACTTTCGTAATGCTTATAACTGGCTCCACATTTGCAGTTTTTCTATTTTTGTATTCCATATAGCTGTATTGAACACTAAGATTGTGATCAAAACCAATCATGTCTTACTGCTACAGAATTAATGTACATTACTCAGTGAGGCCTGTGATGTTCATTACGTTAATAATCAAGCAAACCTTTGCTATTGTCCTGTTAATAAAATTACATTGTTCTATGTGTCTTTCAAGGCAAAGCTAAATAGCCACAGAGGGGACAGGCTGAAAAGAAAGGTCCCTGCCGATACAGGACAGGAAGAGTTGCAGCTGAAACGGAGGATGCTGGACCTAATGGAGGAGTCGTCAAGACGCAATACAGACAACATGCAACAGATAAATAACAACATAGCAAACATCACCAATACCATACAGGAAGGATTTTCTCTGATGAGAGAACTATTAGTCCAGCCTCTCAATGCACGCCCCCACAGTAGCAGCAGTGTATACCAGGGACACCCACCTTCATACAACATGCACCAGAACTCACACCACAATGCATCACCCTTCATTCACACTCCAAGTGAAACACACCACTCTGGGAGATACACACCAACACCACCACTACAATCACACAAAACTTTACAGCAATATACCCCCTCATTTTCATACACACGAGCACTATCTGAAGATGATTGAGCTCATCTGTTTATTTTTGTGAATTTTGCACTACTTTGTTTAGTTCTCAGGTAATTTTTTTTAAATGAAGCAGTTATTTTGTTACAAAACAAGCTTCGTTATACCAGTGATATTTGCAGATTTTATACTGTGACTATTTTTGTTGCACTTTAATAAAAAGACAGTGTTTGAACATTGTTATATTCAATCTTTTTATTTTTGTCAATACATAAGGCAAATTAAATACTTTTTCTGGATCACCCACAAGTTTAAAGTAACATTGATTCAAGTTGGAAATTATTTGTAGCTGTGAACATAAATAACATTGTCAAAATAACGACTTCAAAACTTAAAACATGTTGTCGTCACGCTTAACACTCTACTCCATTCAAACTAAACTAAACAGAAGTAACCATAACCTCATAGTGGTTTCCCAAATATGATTTTCAAAGTTTTACAAATTTAAATACAGTATTGGCAATACTGGCAGTCCTTAAGGGTCAAGGTACTTCATTACCACTCTTCTCACTCTTTCCTTCCCCCTCATTACAGTCAGTGCGGAAATTGTTGCACTGTGTGGGAGGCTGTGAGTCCACCTCTCCTCGCATCGTTCCCATCACAGACACTTCATCTACACCCTCCTTACTGGCCTCACAGAAATTGTGAAGAACAAAACAAGAGTATATGACATAGGGCAGGTCATTCAAATTTATGTCCATCGGCCTTCTCAGTGCTGCAAATCTGGCTTTCAGACGACCAAATGCACACTCAATGACCATCCGTGCCCTACATAAACTCAGGCCAAAGTACTGTTCTTGCGGCGTCGACCCACCGTTGGAGAACTCCTTCATCAGATGAGGCAGCAGTGGGTACGCAGGATCACCGAGAAGGAAAATGGATATAGGCTCCTCATCGTCCACAATCCGCCTTTTAAGAGGCGGGATCTTGCCATTTTTCAGTGACAGATTTAGCTCTGAATTGGCAAAGATCCGTGCGTCGTGCACACTTCCAGGCCACTTGATGACAACATCCATAAATCTGTACTTGTAATCGCACACTGCCTGTACATTCAGGGTGTACTTGCCTTTTCTGTTTATATAGTCCGTGGAGTTGACAGACGGTTGTTTGATTTCAATATGGGTGCCGTCAACTGCTCCTAAACATTGGGGCATGCCATGAGTCTGTTGAAACCCCACAACCAGCTCCGTAGCGTCTTGCTCCGTGAAAGGCAGTCGGACGTACCTGGGACCGAGGTGGATGGAGATCGTCCTGCAGATCTGCCTAACGATGACAGACACGGCCTGGCGCGACACACCGAAGGCGTTTGCAGTCTTCCGTAGCCTTCCTTCGTCGCTCAAATAATAAAGCGTCAGAGCGACCCGTTTTAGAGGATCAATGGGTGCCCTCATATTTGTCGTTTGCCCTTCGATGTGCGGACTTAGCTCCTCGGTGAGCGCCACGACAGATTCCCGGGACATACGAAAGTTCTCCCTCCATTCAGCGTCCAGGACAACACCATTCATGAAGTTGTCCCACCAGCTACTAGTTCTGCCAGGTCGTGTCCAAAACCTCCGTCGGGATGCCCTTCGGGTCCTTATCCGCGGGGAATCCAAAATAAAGTAGCGTACTATGTTGTCAAGAATAGATTGCCGTAACCGAAGATGATGGAGAAGAAGGATATTTTGCTGTAATAACGTTAGTAGGCTCACTTGCTTCAACAGGACACAAGCAACACTGTACGGCGCCATTCTTGTTGTCATTATTTTCTAAGTGCGGCGCATGCGTGCTTTAACAAGAGGCGGGGCGATGACGCAAGCGTCTCAGATACAATGCGGAGAGGCAGTAACCACGGAGCGGCATATACGGAGTTTTGAAATCTTTCCACTCTGGGACCTAGTTTCAAAAATGTTCGTTTACACCCCCCCAAAACGCCGGCCTCGTATGGACGATACACTGGATTGATAAAGTATTTTTGCGTTTAGGCCTGAGCTTGACTTCGTGTGGACAGGGCCTAAAACGAGGATTTATATCGGGATGCCTTTGAACAATTGAGACAGCTGATAAAAGTTCACGTGTGATGCAGAATTTTCTAGTTTGACTCCGTTCTTCACAGTGATGCTAACCGTGTGAATCGGTGGTCTAGTGGTCTAATCTGTGCGCTTACGATGCAGGAACCTGGGTTCGATTCTGGGCTATGTCTTTTTGTATTTATTGCATGTTATCACATTCTATGACAGATTGCTCTAAAAACGGTAAAAGATGAAGGTCAAGACGTTTTTTTGCAGATTATAGCTTAATTGTAAAAATAATCATTTAAAACCACATGTACCCCAATTAAAATAATGTTAGTCTCTTTTTGATGTGGAACTTTTACATGTTTGTCTAAAAAATAGGGAATAAATAAAATTGAAAGGTGATATCCTCTTGAGCAAACCCTGATGTTGATACGCTGAAGAAATACGTTCCAACATCCATTCTTCCCACTCCTATTTTGGACATCAATTGCTTATTTATTTTGCATAAACTATGTATAATTACATTGCTTTTATTTTAGCGTCCGCCAAAGCTATTTTCTCACGGACATCTCTGATGTTCATATATTACAGCATTTTCCCGCAGCATAAAACAAACATATAGAAAGACAGAATGCTGATGCGCATGCGCAGGGCTTGGTAACGACACACACACACGAACGTACGCGCACACACACGCACACACATGCGCGCGCGCTACTGGGGGAAGCAAAAGCATGGCAGAGAGCCCAGGAGCCGCCGCGGTGGAGGAAAAAGTACGTCACTCTAGTCGAGATGAGCGAAAAGAAATATGTTTTCAGATGCCTACTCTTTGTTGTTTTGGGCTATTGTTCAATAAATATCTAAAAAAATGTAACTTTTATCTGACTGACAGTTTATCTTAAATAAGAAGATAAGCTTTATTAATCTCACACAGGAGAAATTTACATGTCACATTTGGCATGGATAAAACACTCAAGAATTGTGCAAAAAATAAGAAATGAGAAAACATGTTAATGCAGGAAAATATAAAATTGCATGAACTGCAGTTTGTTTAATTGAAAATAGCTTCTATATAGCAAGCTACTTTTGACAGAATTTTGTAACTTAGCTTGCTACATTTGTATGGGTGGTAGATTCTGTGTAGTGAAGCTGAATTTATTGTAGAGTAGCTTGTAGCTTAGCTCACTACACAAATCAAGTAGCTTGCCCATCACTGCAATCACTGCATGAAAAGTGTGATTTTTTTCTCTTTTCGGCCCTGTATATTACTGTGAAACTTCTGGGATTCGGCTGTTGACGGTAGTTTGTTGTCCCCTCTTCCCTCCTCCACAGGAGGCTTTAACATGTAAATGGTAATGCTGTGAGCTATACAAATGCTAATCAGGGTTGAGGGGGAGCACAACTTTGCTCAATGCTGCACAACTCCTTTCAGTCAGTCTGCAGCATGATCAGGTCAGCACACTGTAGACCCGGTGTTCTGCCGAAAAGTGACGCTCTGCCAAAAAGTGACGCTTATGTAATGCTCAGCTGTTAATGATGTAATGCAAACCTGCGCGCATGCGCGTCTCACGGCAGCCACAAACCAAGATGGCGGACAGAAAGTCCGAGAATTTCTTTAAAAGTTATAATACGAACGAAATAAGACACGAATGTCACTTTTAATGCAATTTGAGGCGAGATGTTGATGGTTCCGTGTAGCAACTCTACAGCTTTGTTTTCTCTTCACCGAAGCTGAAAACTCACGTGAGTATGGCTCTCCGTTACAAAGGGCATATATTTGTATTAGTATAACGTATTATAAAGTTTGCAACCGAGCGCGTTGACTTCACTGACCTCACTGACTCTACCAAATCCTATACAGAATATTATATTACTTTTTCAACTTTGTACCATACTCCTGGGTTCGAAATTACATTATGGGGATACATTTTACGTACACGCGTAACGTATGAATGAATACGCGGTCATAATCCGTCCCGAAATGTATTGATTTTCTAATATTTGCTCGTGGAGAGATGGTAACATTATGTACTCGTGAAGAAGATGATAAAGTCTGGGATCGCGTCTTTCATTCAGACAGAAGACATGTTTTAGTGTCGATGGTAGAGACAGCACGAACAACACTAACAAAGGATGTTAAAGACAGCAAATGATAATATGCTCAGGACAAACAGAGACCTCCAATCAGCAGCTGCCACAGTGCAGCAGAGATACTCAAAACATGAAGTGGAAAAGTACTTCTGCACATGTAAGAATGATGAGTTTAACTTTAACAAAAGTTACTTAAAAGTGTTATGAAATCTCACACTAGTAAAAAAGATAAATT